AGCTGACTCACACCCCCACCTCCAGCTTTTATTCCAAAAATGTGGTTAAGGCACCTGTCAGACTCTGCAGGGACAGACCCAGAGAACTCATTACTAATGTCATGCTATTTACCAGATCTACTCTCATTTACTAAGAGAAGACATCAGACTCCTATAAGGACTAATACAGCAGCACTACTCACATGCTCTTTTAATCTAGTGTGAACAGAGAATACATGATTTGTGCAACTGTCAAACTCTCCCATAACAGCACAAGATACTGTCAATGACAGGAGAGGCATCTCATGCAGCAGGTCTTTTTTCCCACCAAAGATTATTCAGTAGATATGAATTTCCATACAGTATAAAATGTGAAAGGTTCGTTTGATGTGGTTATAGCAGTAATTTTACTTGGCTTGTCTGATGAGGGGATTGCACCTTGCTGTGGGGCAAGTTTATTGATCCCCCTCTGTGTGGACCTCATAGACAAGGAAAAGAAAAGGGGAATGAGGTGGAGGAGAGATGTTATGAACAGATGACAGAGAAAGGAAGTGGCAAGCGGGATTTTTATAGTTGTGAACAGAACCGGGTTTGCTTAATTGCGTAGGGATTGTCTGAAAATTCTCCTTCCGAATCTTCATTTGGAACTTCAATCGGCAAGCTCCGAGCCATCTGCACACAGCTGTGCATGTGCTGTATGCACTCTTAAAGGCTGGTGTTTTTTGTCTGTCTCACTAACAGGGTAGCTTGAAGGAAACCCCTGACACACACACACACGCGCAGAGTGAGACAGGGAAATGGATCCAGGCTGCCAGAGACACACCGCAGTGCTCATCAATAATGGACAAGAGCAAAGTTGGAGGAAGAGAGACAAACTGTGCAACATCACCTGAAGCCACAGGTCCCACAGAGAGGCGCTTTGAGCAGGTGCTGTAGCTAACACTGTGTGTGTGTGTGTGTGTGTGTGTGTGTGTGTGTGTGTGTGTGTGTGTGTGTGTGTGCGCGCGCGTGCGCAAGGCTGTACATATTTATCTATGAAAGAGTGTGTATGTACATATGTGCCTGTGTGTACGTACTTGCGTGTGTGTGTGTGTGTGTGTGTGTGTGCCAGTGTACATTTATGTATACAAATAAGAATATGAATGTGTGTTTGTGAGCGTGTCTGTGCTAGTCTATGTGAGTTTGTGACTTTTTGCCAGTGTGTACACTGTGTGTGTGTGTGTGTGTGTGTGTGTGTGTGTGTGTGTGTGTGTGTGTGCCTGCGTTTTGTGTGAGTAATTAAAACTGTGTGTGTGTGTGTGTGTGTGTGTGTGTGTGTCAGAGGGTGCTTTGTTGGGGAAGCCCTTTTCTCCACCCCCTCTCAGCTGTAGTCTATTAACACCAGCAGTACTTTTCCACCAGCACCCTCCCATCTGCAGCTCTGAATAATGGAACAAGAGGCTGAGAATATTACTGTGAAAATACAACATCAATAATGTGACGCTAAAGTTTCTCCCTGTAGCAGCCAGCAGCCACCCCCACCCTCCCTCCACCCCCTCCCCCCCCCGCTCCATAAACAATGCATCACTCACTTTCCAAGTTTTAATAACTATTATTTTGCATTTTGCTCCTACACGGGATGGCTGATCCCCTCTCTCTCCGTCGCAGGTTTGCTGCGGTCTTGCCCGTGCATAATTGATGGGCGCGGCAGGCGTGTGGCGCGTTCGCAGCCGCCGTTGTTTGTTCTGATGGGAGATCTGGTCCTCCGATAGCGGGCCTCGCAGCTGCCGTCTGGGGGGAAGCCCTTTGTGTGCTGCCTCGCCCTCCCGCCTCATTGTTTGGCCGCAGTTGTGTTTGTTTGCTTTTTTTTTAATTGCGGCGATGGTAGCCAGGGAGCCCGGCGGGTGCTGCTCGGCTGCTCCGCTCCGTCATCGGCGACATCCCCCCTCAGAGCCGTTAACGTGCGGCGTTCAGGGCTGACCCAAAGAAATGCACACAAACAGACACACACAAACAGTCGGAAAACACACGGTTTTAACCAGTGAAAACAAACAAGTTTTCCATTGTGTTCCCACCCTCATTCCCAGCTTCAGTGAGTGTGGGTTTATCTCCTATCAAAGACTTTCCCATATTACAATCCTACTGCTATGTGTGTTATATGTCTATTATGAGGTGCATTAGAGCTGCTTGACTGGGATGGACCAGTGTCCTCAGCGTGGGTGAGTGTGGGTTTATCTCCTATGAAAGACTTTCCCAGTGCATCCCCCCTTCCAGGCTGCTGAAACCAGTGTTCATGCTAAACGTCCCCTTCCAAGATGAGGAACCCTGATAAGATGAGGAACCTAGACACTTGACGCCAGATCTCTATCTCTCTCTGGCTCCAGCTTTCCCGCACTGAGAATATTGGGTTTGTATCCCGTTTCCTCCTCTCTCCAGCGGGATGACATTACCCTGGGTTTCCCGCAGTGAAGAGTGAACGTTCTGTCCTACACCAGTCTGCTGTAACGGGACAAACCTATCCTCTGATCTGAACGTGTTAACTGCTGGAATACCCCGCGTGTGTGATTGAGTGTAGAGCGCGGTATGGGTGCAGAGCAGGGAGTGTGTCTCGAGGGGAGTCCAAGGCTAAGCGGTGTGCATGGCATCAGCAGTGCTGTGGGGGGGGGGAGGGGGGGGGGGAGGACAGTGGCTGTGCAGCTGAGAGAGGGCATTTCCCTGAATCCTGAAGGAGGAAAGCCCACCGCCCCCACCCCCAGCCGTGGCCCCCGCCCGCTCGCCCGGTCTCCCGGCGTTGGCTCAGATGCAGGGATTACTGTGGGAGGCAGTGGGCTCTCCTGTTTCAGCCCCGCTGCTGATGCGGGGGTGGGACGGCCGCTGCTCGCTGATGGAGATTTCCAAACCGCACGGTCCTCTCGAGGAGACCCCCTGCCTCCCCGCGCTCGCCCACCACCCCCACACCACCGCTGCGCTGCTCACACTGCCCCCCCCACACTTTCCTATCAATTCCACGCCCGACACCTAAGTAAACTAACACATTCTCCTCCACTAACAATCTGCTTCCCTTCTTGTTTCAATCTCATCCTTTCTCTCTCTCTCTGTCTCTCTCTCTCTCACTTTCTCCCCCTATTTCTTTCTGTTTTTAATCTCACGTGTTCTCTGCTGTTCTGAGGACCTTAACTGCCAATTTGTGTGTGTGTGTGTGTGTGTGTGTGTGTGTGTGTGTGTGTGTGTGTGTGTGTGTGTGTGTGTGTGTGTGTGTGTTGTGTGTGTGTGTGTGTGTGTGTGTGTGTGTGTGTGTGTGTGGGTGGGTGAATGTTTATGTGATAAATACTGCCCCCAAGCACTGATGCTGGATCTGTACTCGCCATTTACAGTCACTACCTAGGATTAGGATTAGATGCGGATAAGAGGATTCTTCATCAGTTATTGCAGGTGGAAACTACCTGGAGCATGAATGCCTTTTATAGGGGTCATACTGTGTGACACAATAACATCAAAAATTACTTCCCCAAGTAAAAGTGGACATGTTTCTATTTATTCCTGGATACACTGTTTAACCTTCTACCTTTATCAGAAGTCACTTATCTGTGGGAAATTTACTATTTCATCACAAGATGTCTCATCTGTATCTTCTCTCTCTCTTTTCTCTCTACACACACACACACACACACACACACATACACACACATACACATACACAAATATATATAGGCCTCAAATACTCACACACACACACACACACACACACACTGCAAACACATCCACTCAGTGACTTGTGCAGAATTTAATGAAATTTTCTCAGAACCAATTCAGTTCAGTCCCCCAGTGTATGGTGTTTATTGAACTGAGTCCACTCCACCTCAGCTTGATGAAAGACTCATCACCTGAGAGAACTTCTGACCTTTGACCCTTGACCCTCTAACCTTTCCACTCCCACTCTGAAAGGAGAACCGTGTTCAGTCTCACGTGCCTCACAGGTGTGGCATGTGTTGCTCAACCAGCGCCATGAAATTTTGCCACTTATTTATTTATTTTTTCAACGATAATGCGATTTTGCACAGTACCATGGATCTGAAAGATGAGTAATTTAGTTACTCGGGGGGGGTTGTACTTTCATAACGGTGAGAACGGTGAACGATAATGATAATGACAATGTTAACCTCAGTCTTACGGACCGATAAGACAGGATTTGACAGAGGCTTAGAGAAGAGAGGCAGGCAGGCGTTCCACAGAGATTTGAAAAGGCGCCCATGAGTCAAGCAGGAAGACAAGCAGCGAGAGAGTCGGCCTTAGGCGAACGCCTACAACACCTCTTTATGAACAATAAAAACAACAACCCAAAACTGACAAACATGAGGAATAATAACCATCACAAGGGGAGAGAGAGAGAGAGCTATAAATAAGTGATAGAACAAAATGTTCCTGTAAAACACTCGTATAAGGCCTGAGAGTGAGGATTATGGCCTCTGGCGTCTTCCTGCCCTGTCTGGACCAGCTCCAGACTCGCTGCCGATCCCGGATAAGGCTCCCTAACAATGCAGAGAGGAAACGGCTGAGAAGGAGCTTAAAGGCCACCTAGGGCTGTTCTCCGAACACATCTGGTGTTCAGCTCACAGTCGTTGTTTTAATGCATCATATTGGAGCATGAAATAATTTTGGCGTAGACAAAGTGTGTAAGTACTTCCCCGGGAAAATGTTTAGTCAGTGAGTGCCTTCCTCGCTCGTCAGCTCGACCTCCAGCTGAAGCTCTCCTTACTGATCCCGGGTGAAAGCGGACTCCACTATTTAAAAACGGATCAGAGCGGCTGGCCTTTAAGGTGGTTTGACAGCCATCTCAGCATTCAAATTACAGTCAGTTCAGCTTCAAATGTGACTTGGGGATAGAGTGCAAATAAGGAGTAGTCTACATTACATTATTGGCATTTAGCAGATGCTCTTATCCAGAACAACTTACACAGGTTACAATTTTTGTTATCCATTTATATTGGATATTTACAAAGGCAATTCTGGGTTAAGCACCTTTCCCAAGAGTACAGCAGCCATGCCCCAGGGGGGAATCAAACCAGCAACCTCCTGGTTACAAGCCCTGCTCCTTACCAGTATGCTACACTGGCACTCTCCACACCTTGTGTGGATCATCCACCCTAACCAGTGTGACAGCGCAGCATGCTGTGTTTAAGGGTTGTTGGCACAGCTCTCCGAAGGCTCAGTGTGTTATGTCTGCATCTCGCTTGGGAAAGAATCACAGACACGTTAACCTATTCTCTTAGCTTTAGCATCAATGTCAGGGTGCCCCACGTAACCCCAGACACCACTCGCCAACCTAGCAAAAACTCGGCCGCATTGCTTACGTGTAAACAGCCTCAGATCACTGGGATCTACGCAGCCGTTGGCCGGTGACGGAGTTAACCCTTTCAGCGCTGCAGCGGGAGCCGCCAAACATGGCCAGGAGGAAGTAGGTTGCTATGAGATAAAGATGGGAAGGCTAGCTGTTTGCCACGGTTGCTATAGAGACTGTTGGGGGGCAGAAGGAAGCTGTTGGTCTAAAATAAGATCACTGATAATTGTTACGATGAAATTTCCTAGACGACACTAAAAGACGGATTCCTTTCATCGGAGACGGAACTTGAATGGCAAAGTTGCAGACAAAAGTGTACGCGGAGGCTCGAAACGTCGATGTTAAAACGGTGCACCCGCAAAGGGGTCCTTGCAAGCCATTTTAGCCACATATTTACACATTCTTTTCCGCGACCATTGATCTTGTTCCCTTTCAAGTGAATCGTTACTCGAATCCGTCCGCTATAGAATGCGCAGGTGATTTGGAATTGTGGGGAGAGGCTTGGCGCTATAATGAGGTAACCTTTTCCCGGACGCCGACCCCTGCAGCATCCGACCCCCTGAGGGACCACCCCCATTCTCAACCCACCAGCACTGTTTAATGACCCTAATGAGCCACTCTACAGTCCTAACATCGTTACCATTAAAAGCAGAGCTCGTCTTCCCCAGGGGCTGCCAGTTGCCCTCAGCCACCCTGGTCCCCAGCGCCGAGCGCGTGCGAGGCAGTGCGCTGTTGCCATGGCAAACAAATCGGCAGATAAATCGCTGTTAACCTTCGAGGGCGCCGAGCTACGAGGAAAAAGGAAAAAGAGGGTAGACAAATTAAATCAGCCTAACAACTTCTTACAAGGAGAAGACGAATAAAGAGATGGAGAGAGTGAGAGAGAGACGGAGATGGCCAGGGGAAAAAAAGGTGTTTGGAATGCCACGGAAGGAGTGTAAACCGTCTATCTGCTTTATCTGCTGAGGCAATTGCTGGATGCTGCCAGTAATGGAGGTCAAACCTCAGGGCCATGCTGCATGACTGCAGGAATTCTTCTTTTTTAACCTTGGGATTTTGAGCAGAGATTGACGCATTCCCTGACTATCTAGAATCTAACTGTAGTATTAGACTCACTCGAGGTCCCATCCGCAGAGCAATGGAGGCAAGCTCTTGATGCAGTGCATGCTGGGTAAAGCTGTCAGGGCTAGGGTGTCCTGAGCGGACAGCTTCATTAGAGGCTTCCAGGCGGTGCTCCCTTTGATCGGGGGCGCCTCCATCGATCGCCGAGCCGTGGGTGGGCCGGGGATTCCTCAGAGTGAACGCGGTCCAGCTGGAGGAGAGAAAAGGAAGAAGGTGGGCAGAGAGACAGCAGCATCAATCCCAGCAGCCAATATCCCCGCTGACTGATGCGGCCGCGTCGGCCCGGCTTGGGCCAGACGGCGGGGGTGGGTGCGGGGGGGGGGAACCATGCAGGGCTTGGTGCTGCTTAGTAAACTCAGCTCAGAACCACCTTCTGCACTGGGCGGCCCACTCCTCCACTCCTTCTCTATGTGCTACAGCCTAGCTGCAGGCACCAGTGGCGGACTTTCCCTGCAAAGAATGATGGGTAAGATGATGTCATAATTTGGGTAGAAGGATGTAGAGGGACGCCCTCAGCCCAGGTGTTACTCAGTTCAACAGAGATTTTCAGTTGATTTTTGAGACATGTCATATTTGCTGTGTGCTGCTGTATCTGTTCGGTGTGTCCTGTAAAGTAATGCGGTGTTACACTGAAGAAACTGAACACAAGACAAGGACACTGTGGTGTTAAGACACTGAATGGAGAGAGAGGAAGACTGTGCTGCACAGACACTGAACACAGAGAGAGGAAGCCTGCGCATATGTTTTTGCAGACATGGAATCTGACTTGGCAAACCCCTATTCTGAAGAAAAAAAAACACAGCGCTCGCTCTGAGCACACTCAGTGCAGGGCAGAGAATGCCGCCTGGCATCCCGTGCTTCCTCCAAGGGGAGCAGAGTCCAGGACAGCCCACCCGCTGAATCTCGCCGGCATGCCGGCAGTCTGGGTTCACCCCGTTCCTTTCCAAAAGAGCACCGAGTCCAAACAAGACCGCAGCTCCGCAGAGAAACTTCAGAAAGCAGCAGAGGCCCTGAGCTGCACGTGAGGATGCAGGCATCTGAAATGGTGACTTTGGCTGTGCTGGGTGCACGTACACCCGATCTGTGATACACACGCGTGTGATTGCTGATCACCCACAGACTACTTTAATCCTCTCATTAAAAAACACAGATACTCTAATGACTCCTGCAGACTAAAAGACACATTGCCATTTAATTACAATTTTTGTCATAATATTAACATTATTTGTTCTGATTAATTTAGATTATTATTATAATTGTATGTTATATTATAGTAATGATTTTATTATATCATATTAATATAAAATATATAGACAGTACTATAATAGATCATTATTAATTATAGATTATATACTTTAATATATAATGTATATTAGTATATAATTATATCAATATACATACTACAGTATGTGTATAATACATATATAAAAAATAAATGTATTAAATTATTTATCCGAAAACTCATTTTGCATATGTTTAACATGGTCCTGTTCAACTCCAACCTGCTGGCTTATTGCTTCAGCTTTTTTTAAGCTCTTGCAGTTGTGTAAAGTGTTTATCTTCCCACAGACTGGATGACTGGAGGCTTGTTTCTTTAGAAGTGATGTGATTATTTTAAAGGCTCCCTTTCTAAGGATGTAAGATGAAATCATGACCTGACATCCTGACAGGTCCATGCACAACCCCATTGTAAAACATGTTTTTAAGAATAGAGCAGTATATTTACTTTAATGGATCATTGATTTGCAATGTGAGTTCCATGATTTTAGACGAGATTGCTGTTACAGATCATTATTAGGCCTTAGTATAATAGTAGAGGCTAGCATGATGCAGGTATGTTGCTCTCAGGGATGATTGTTAGGCACTGTATGCATGCTAATACTGTTTTATTTTTAGATTTTATTTCTGTTTTTTCAGCTTGAAGTTCATTTACTTTGTTGCTGGCTATCCTGTACTTATGTTCTTGCGCTTTACGCTCTTTTGTTAGTGTTGTAACTCCTGTGATCTTCGTTTTAAGGGGTCTTGCCATGAAGAGAGTTTTCGTATGGCAGTTGCTCTGATCCAGAACTACACTATTACTACTACTAGACCTACCATAAATAATAATATTAAAATGTATTTATTTAAATACAATCTGTTCTTTTTGTAGGCCTCTGTCAGAAAAGATACTTTGTCTCTTTAAAAAGATGAATAGGAATGTCACATCCCTACTTTCCAGATCTTGGGATAAACGTGGTGAATAACATATTCAGAGCCCAGTGGGTAAAAACCACAGCTCAACATGAAAAGACAACCAAGGTTTAGCTGCAGCTCAGAGCTTCACGAATTAAACAAGTAATCATGTCCACGACACTGAGGCTGAAAGACATAGAGAGAGAGAGAGAGAGAGAGAGAGAGAGAGAGAGAGAGAGAGGGAAAAAAAAAACATTTTCCAATGCATTGTCAATCTTGGCATAAAGCGATTGCCTCCTTTAAACACCAGCGGAGGGTAAATCATGTTTTAATAAGCATTCTGACACATCCATCATTGTTTTAAGGAGATAAGTCACAATGCGTGTGCTGCTCGGGATCATGGGTAGCCTGGAAGGATGCCCACAGTCGTGTATCTCCCTTTGACATTTAGATTTACAAACAGCTCCCAGTCACACCCGACTTAAATCCTATTTATTAAAAGTGAATGGAATTCTCTCTCCAGCTGAAGGTGCTTTGGCATGTTCACTTTATGTTCCCTCAGAGATTAGGGAATCCAGCCATTGCTTTCCTGCCGTGTCCCCTTTCAAGTTCCTCCTCCTTTCCCGCTGCTCCTCGTCTCTCAGAATTATGTGGATTTTTTTTTTATACGTATTTCTTATTTTTCATCTTGGCCCAGGGAGAGGAGGAGGAGGAGGAGGAGGAAGAAGCAGAAGAAGAAGAAGAGGAAAACAGCAGCATGCAGTTGGCCTCAGATACCTGCGACTTGTAACATGCGCCTTTCCTGTGATTGATTTTTTTGACAGAAATGTCCTCATTAGGCCTGTACAAATGACATGAAAAGGAACGCGCTGCAAAGAGGGAACAGGAGGAAAGAAAAAGTTTACTCGCTTTTGACACTTGCTCACTTTCATCTGTGCTGCCTTTCAGAATTCGGTTTAGAGTTATACGCTGGCATACTCTGCCTTTCCCCACCCTTCTGACACACACACAGACACACACACGCAAATAAAATCCTTTTCATTTCTATCCCCGTATGCCTGGGTCATCGAAGATGACCCAGCCATAGGAGTTCTTTCTGTTCTTTTCAAAAACACAATTAAATAAATGAGAATATAATGAAATCAAGTCGAACCTCTGTAGTGACTAATTATCATATCTTTGATAACAAAGCGAACAGAAGTGGCTGGGAAGGGAAGCTTTGGGCTGAGAGATGCAAGCTGGGAATTGAGGAGCGGATCGTGGTGAAGAGAGGGTCTGTTTCCCCAGCGCAGAGCATCCGGAGACGGGGGGCTCCACCGGCGAATCAAAGCCTGTTTTCTTAATTAAAGCTTTTAATGGGAGGGGGTTCAACAGCCCGGGGCGGGAGGTGTAGGGTGGGGCTCTGGTTTGCGGAGGCTGAACTTTCCGCAGTAAACTTTATTTCCACCTTTTGTCCTTGTTTATTTGTTTACTCTTTCGGTC